GAGTAGAGACGTGGTCCGCCATCCAATAGAGCTTCAGTTGTCGCCTGTCCGCCAGCGGGGAGGGGGGTGGTTGTCGGAGACATCAACTTTCAAATTCAGTCGGTACAACAAGTCGTTTTTCATTCAAGCCGTCCTAAACAATCGTTGGCCAACGAGCTACAGTCTTATTGAACTGGGGCCCGTGCTTCGATCGCGCGCTTGTTCCGGTTGGACTTACTGGGAGCTATTTTCCTCCAATCAGTGCCTTCATTTCGGTTGCTTGCATCCACGGCTGGATTCGGAACCACCTCAGTTTCATCTCCAGTTCGCTGCAGCTAAAATATACATGAATTGCCTTAATATAGCAGTCGGAGGGTGTTGAGTTTATGAGTGCTAAAGGGATGCGTTTTTGCGGTTGCGCCGTTAGGCTAACCGCCGCTGATGCAGTTGAATGAAAGTCATGCGACTGGCTGGTCCTGAGACCTTGAACCCCTACGGAGCCATCGCTGACTACCTGATTGTGAACGACGGGTAACCGGTGGAGTTGATAGATACCTCTTAACCCCTGCCACTTTCCTTATTTGCGGTCTCGAAGGTGAACTAGACTTTGCTAGTTCTGTTCTGACGCCACCGAGATCCATTGTTACAATACCTCTATTTCTGCATCTGTGTCTGTTTGTCTCTGCAGAATACACTCTATCGTCCTGGTGGTCATCTCCTGTCTGTTTGGCCTCTTCGTCATTGCCATTTTCACTGATCAGGTGAGTCGTCCGTCTGCGGCAACTACGCTGTTTTGTACTTTTAACACTTTGGCTGCGACGTGCGCCATATATGGTACACGTCTAGGCCTAAAGTAATGGAGGTTTAAAAAACGTCGCCCCAGGGGCAAACATACTATTTTGAGAGTCGCAGTCAAAGTGTTAAAGTCTGTTGGAACCGATTTTTATAAGTTTGCATGCGGACAAAAACAAGCAACAGTTATAGGATTATGAGCCAATCAAACACGAATAACGCCAGTCCGGAGGTGACTGCGTAGGTCTCTGTAGGTTGACGCCAAATCGATATATCGATTATCTGAGTTATCATTGGAGGCCAAGGTGTCTAAGAGGCCAAAGCGCTATAAAAAGGGGATAGTTAAAAGAAAATGGGGCGCTCTATTGCTTAGGGCCGCGCTTGCGGTACCGTGAAAGTGAAGTTACCATGTGCAAATGGCATGGGGGGGGGCTAGTTGGTAGCCAGAGGTCTTACAATCGGAGATGTCTCATCGGCCGGGGGGGGATGGTGATGTTCGTTGGCAATGCAAACGAAAATGCAAGTCCGAGGAGCTAATTGAGAACAAGCAGATGTGATCGGTACAACAAGAATTTTATTCACCTGACGTTTCGAAACCCGTCGCGGCTCCATCGTCAGAGACATTAGCAGATACGGTAATTCATGCACAGGGAGTTGCAGTATTTATAGGATACAGTCCCTATACTACTCCACACTTAGGACAATTAACGGCTGCCGCTCTCACCAACAATAGTGGCCTTCTGGTGCGCTAATCGTCCGATGGCCGGCATGCTGGTCGTGAGATGCTGAAATTCCATCACTCGTGCTGGACTTGGTTGTGATGAGTGCTCGGCCAGCTGGCGCTGGTGTTAAAAGACGCGTTCGCTTCTGTGCTCTCCTCAATGGTGAATTGCCTTGGTCAAACTGAGCCTCAGCGTCGAATATGGATTAGGCTGGTCATCGTAGTAGACCCCGGGGGCCGTGAACCATGACTCAAGTAAGTCGTGGCTCACAAGATTGTCACCTCTCGCGAGAATGTCGACCTCATCAAATCTGAATGTGCACCCAGATCTCATCGAAAGAGACACAAATTGGGAATTTCTCATTTTTCGCGCTGCTGCCGTGTGTTCGACAATTCGCGCAGTGGTTGTCTCCGTCCCGTGTGTGGCTCCGACCCCAGCAGGTGATATTCTTTGAATAGAAGGCAGCTTTCCCTGCCTTTCATTTCATTCGAACCCTATTCCCTGTCTGACAAGAATGTCGAGGTGGCCTAGTGGATACGTGTGCGCACGAGGTTATCCAAGGGTCTTTGATCTGTAGGACTGACGTGTCAGCTGGTTTAAGTTTGTCCAGGAATCTGTCAACCACCGACTGGCTGCCTTGAAGGGCAGACATTCAACTAGCATAAACTTAGCCTGCTAAAGACAAAAGCAGTGAATGGCGCGTGACTTAAATTTAAGTGGCAGTAGACTTGCACTGAATCTACCGCATTCAACCACCCATGCCCGATGTCATGACAGGGGCAAACAGACTGCAGATGGGATCGACCCAGGTGGTTGGCACGGTAGATTCCTCGATTCCCTAGAAGACGGCACGCCAGCAAACAGCACGTTTGTGCGAGTAAGGCTGTTTTTGTCGGGATGAGTTTAGAAAGGCCAAGCAGAGGTTAATGGCATCCTAAAATTTTGCCACCTCTTGTACGTGCATTAATTAACGCTTCAATCAGAAAACTGTCCAGGCAGAATGACATTGCCAGCGAAGGCTAGTAAAACATTTTATGGCCATTTCTGGCTTATTAGCCGTCATCAGCCAGCCAGCCAACCGTCACTCAAACTCTGGTATTGCAGCCCCATAAGGTTTGAACCCGTAGGCTATCGATTAGATGCCTAAGGCTCTAATCCCTGCACCACGGTCTCGTCTTGCCGGTTTTGCTTGGGTATATTAACCATGGTAGAGCGACGCTCACTGATCGTGTTATGTACCACGGTCTTCCCGTTGTAATTTAGAGTTCACTCTTGAGCTCCACCAACGATCGGCGTTCACTGGGTAGTTTGGGGCCATATTTTATAATGTCAGTTGCCATTTGCCAGCGACCTTTGAGTGCATCCGATATATATTCGTACCCGTAACTACACCTAAACTCGGTTGACGTGGCATGTATTCGCAGGGCATCTTTCATTGCTCGGCAGCAATCTATTGCAGATAACACCACGGAGACTAAAAACCACAGAATTCTGTGGTTCGTGACCGGTGATAATAGGGGTTTATGGGTATTGCGTAACACAGTTGACGTCAAAGTAGTAAGCCAAAATATGCTTACAATGCGAACTTGATAGACAGTTATGCAAAGTAAATAAGGGCGCAGTTTTACCTATAATAGGCTGTTATACATTGGTCTAACTGGAATAGCTAGTGTGATCTTTGTCAACAGTAGCTTTGAGGCAGCTTGTAGCGGGTGTACTAGCTCATGAAATGTTAACTAAAATTACGAAGTGTGTTTTTTGGAGTGAAAACAAATTACTTAAATAGGCGTGTAAGCATACTAGTCGTACCATTCGCATTCTCCTAGTCCAACGCTAACGGTTGAGCATTGGGCGTGGGATGTGGAACCATAACCCTGAATAAGTCAAGACAATGAAAGGGGTCCAACCAAAACGAATGGTTATCTTGACCGGTGAGAGGGAGGGGGACGTTACTACGGCTGGGAAGCAAAACAATCTACCTCGAGCTCCCTACTGGGGTGATTCGGGATCTAACACAGGCTGCAGCTGCTGCTTCATTTGTTTTGCCACTGACTTTCAGCATTTAACATTAGCATCTGTACGTATGATTGGAAAAATTGGCAGGCCACGGGGACACACGAAAGGGCTGGAACTGGTTGGGATCAATCGATTAAGGTCTGCACTTGAAGGTATCGTATCCTTAAAAGAGAGGGTCAAGGCGGCTTAGAACAGAAGACCTATTTATTTGAATGGAGGGAGGTAAGAGTGCCGGTTGGCTAAGGTGACCGTTGGTACGAAATGATTTGCATTGAAAATGCTGAGGCCTAGGATGCTTGCATGCCCCCCCCTCCCCCCACGATAAGACATCCCCTTAAAATACAGGTGGCTTTATGCCAAATTCCAGGAAGTGTTCCTAGTTCCCTCTTCTAATCATGGCCCAAAATGTAATCATAGCCATAGCTTATCAGTAACTTCAATCCAAACCCTAATCGTCATGGGGTACGGCGCAAGGCCACCCGCACTACAGCCCGGACAGTTCCCGCTTCCGGCTGTGGTTATTCCATGAGCGGATTT